CCTCATCTGAGAGCACAAAGGCTTCTCTTCCAGAGGACCAAAAAAAAAAAAAAAAACAAAGTTGAATCTGATGACCGAGAGGAGGCCATGCATGGGGAAGAAGCAGCACAGTCTCTGAGGCTGACCAAGCTGTGAGTTAGAAGACTCCAAGGCCAGGGCAGTATTGTACTTCTTGGCCCAAGACATAGAGTAACGAACCAGTGTGGTCAGTGTGAAGAGAGCAGAGAACATGGGAGTGGGTGTGGGCAGCGGCATGAGGGGGAGCTGGAGAAGTAGGTGGGGCAAGATGAGGAGGGGCTCTCTAGGACTTTATTCTAGGGGCAACACAGTGCTGCTGGGATTAGTTTTAGAAAGATCGTTGATTCTGACTGCAGAGTGATGGATAGATGGCAGGGGAGACTAATGTGGTGACTAATGGAATCTTCCTGGCAAGACGTGATGGGGGTTGTGTGGAAGAGGAGTAAAGAGAAACAGATAGGTCAGGTACACATTGGGAAGAGGAATGAACTGAATTTGTAGACTGATTGAATTTGTCGAGGGTGAGGGAGTATGGAATAACTCCCAGTTTCTTACCTGGGGGCAGAATTCTGACATAGAAAAATCAGGAGGAAGAGCAGGTTTGGTGAGGAGATTGACTGTTGGACGTCATCAGTAACCAGGAGAGATGTGGAACCCATACTGACTAGATGGTGCAGACAGGGTGTGAGGGGATGCATCCTGGAAACATGGTGGGAAACCTTTGCTCATGGAGAGCTCTAGCAGCCTTGCTTGTGGGGATGTCACTATTGAGAGGGACCTTGCATGTCATGACTTTAGATTCAGAGTCGTCCATAGTAGTTGGATCACTGTGAATCCTTCAAGTATGCCTTTGAAATAAAAAATAGGAAGGAGTAGCACTGATTCACATTTATTGCTCTCGACCCTGGGTCTTTGAACTTGGATCTTTAGTCTCAAACTTGCCTAGTTCTTTGCCCCCACATGCAGGTGGAGTTTTCCTGTTCCACAGACGCTCTCAAATAATTACTCAAAAACTTAATATTAATTGTAAGTACTCGGCTGGTAGCTTAGGCTTATTACTAACTAGCTCTTACATTTTAAGTTAACCCATATTCCTTATTTATGCTCTGCCATGTGGGAGTACCTTTATTAGCATGGCATGTTCATCTCCTGCTCCCTCTGCATCTGGCTGGTGACCTCAGACTCCACCCTTCCTTATCCCATTATTCTCAGTTTGGCTTTTCTGCCTAACTTTACCTGTTCAGCTATTGGCCAGTCAGCTCCTTTATTAAACCAATTATAGTGACATATATTTACACAGTGTACAGAAGGATCATTCCACAGCGCACACACACATCTAAACAGAGCTTGCATACAGGCAACTACGTAGAGAGAAGGGGAGATTGCTTTAGGTCTACTCTACCATATTTGGAGAGTTTAAGAATGTGAAAATATTTAGTGCCTATGTATACCCAGGGAAGTGGAAATCTTCATTTTATTTAGCAGAAGGAAAGATTGATGCAAGCCATCTAAGCAGTCACTTAAGCACAAAACATGCTGTGACCCAGCAGTCCGCTACTCTGTACTGGGCAGAACAGCTGGTATAGGGCCACCTAGACGTGAGGATTCAGCAGTCAATAGCTGGACATAATCTGGGTGATGTCACTATGGGATGGCTGAGTCACATGTGCACAAGTGCATGAAGGAACAATCGGTTCCAACCAATAATGGTATGGGTTAAGTGTGCATTCTTTATTACACACTATTAATTAAAGTAAGCACACCCACAGTAGTCTGATCACCATGCATCTCTCAAGGCTTCATTTATTTAAGGAAGTAGGTCCATCATGTTAGAATGACTTCTAGAAGGGGACTCAAAGAAGGAAATGGGTGTGTGTGTGTGGGGGGGTTGGTTCAGAGGTGAAGATGGCAGGAAATGAACTGGGGGCTGAGATCTGAACAAAGGTAGACAGGACGCTCCCACTTTCTGTTTGGTCCTGGTCCCTAACTTTTTACATAGGACTGCTTTTTTAAGTCTTTTCTCTGTCTCCTGTGAACAGGGACCATCACTTTTCAGACAGAAACAGCGTGCTTGGCACACACCACACACAGGTACAGAACAGTTTTCCTGCTCCTGTCCCAGTGTGCTCCCTCCAGAGTCTGGCTTCCATTGGGTCCACAGACCTCCCCAGAGGTCGCTCTGGCTTCGTTCCCCTCGGTGGGCCCTGCTTGCTGACAATCAGAGCCACTTCGAAGACACAGGCTGTCCTCAGTCAGACACCAAGAGAGCCGTATGTGAGCTCCGTGTTCGGGAGCCTTCAGTCCAGGGAGAAGGAGGCAGTGTGGCCTTTCCTGGGTTCCTGGGACGTGGCTTGGCTTCCTGCAGTCAACAGCTTTGGTTTTGTAGCCTGGTTCCCATTCTAGCAAGAGGCTGGCCTACTCTTCCATCAGGCCTGCTTTCCTGTACTGCTGTTTGTCCAACTGGCTTGAGCTTGCCCCAGGAGCTTTCCAAAGAGGAAAAAGTGTTCCTCACTTTTCACCTAGGCTTTGAGAATCTCCCACCATTAATGCATAGGCTAGACCATCTAAAGACTCCCAGCATCCTCAGGATGAACCCCCAGTGCCAACAGCACCTTCTATCTTAGCCAAGTAGGTGAGGTTGGCTGTCAAGCCGATTTCCAAGTCAGTCATGTCACTGGTAACACAAGGGGAGTAAAATTTCTACCCACCCTTGCCTGCATTCATTATTTTTCTTTTTAAAAGGGGATTTTAAATTCTATTTTATGTATGGGAGTGTTGGCCTGCATGTATGTACAGCATATGTGTCCATGGATATCAGGGGAGGGACCTGATTCCCCAGAACTGGAGTCATAGGTAGCTGTGAGCCACTATGTGGGTGCTGGGAATTGAACCCAGGTCATCTACAGTAAGTGCCCTTGATGTCTGAGCCATCTCTCCAGTCCTGTTTACTTTTGTTTTTGTTTTGTTTTAATTAAAAAAACACAAGGCTGGAGAGACAGCTTGGAGGTTAAGAGCACTGGCTGCTCCTTCAGAGGATCTGGGTTTGATTCCCAACACATATATAGTGGCTCACAACCTTGCAGTCTGGCTGTAGCAAGAATATTAGATGATCTTATTAATAAAATCAAACCTGAGCCAGGTATTGGGGTGAATGCTGGAAAAGAACAAGCCACAGCCACCTCACCTCGCCAGTTCCTCAGCTGATCCTGTTTCCTCATCCAGAATTAATCTCAGCTGAACTATGCTGCTCAAAGCCTAAAAGCTTAACCAGCCAAATGCTTCTAGTTTCTGGTCTTCACGCCTTTTATATACCTTTCTGCTATCTGCCATCACTCCCTGGGATTAAAGGCTGGCTTTCTGGGATTAAAGGCGTGAGTCACCATGCTTGGCTGTATTCTTGAACAGATGGATTTCTGCCTCTGGAATGCTAGGATTAAAGGCGTGTGCCACCACTGCCTACCCTCTATGTTTAATATTGTGGCTGTTCTGTCTCTGACCCCAGATAATTTATTAGCATGCACAATATTTTGGGGAACACAATACCACCACATCAGGCCTGGTTTGGTGGCAATCTCTCAGTGGGCCTCTGCCATTTTCTCTGACCTGAGGGGGCTGAGAAGGGTGGGGCTGGAAACCAGAAGCAGCACGAGAGGGAAAAACTTCTGCACCCCTCCCCCATCATCTGCTCAGGGCTCACAGGTGGGGAGGGTCCTGTGGGCCTCTGGAGCTCAAGGTCACACCCACAGAGTGACTGCCACTCAACCATCAGTGTAGACGGAAAACCAGACATAGATAGGGCTGGACCAGAAAATAGGAACTGGGATCTCCAGAACATTCTGGAAGCTGGAGATAAATCACAGGGAGCCAAGCCACACAGCTGTCTCCTCCCCTCACCCACCACAGGTGATCATTGATTTACATCCACCAGCCATCCATTCTTTTTAGTATCTCTACATCCTGAGCTCCTCAGCAGGGAGTTTTTCATCCTCCATAATCAGAACACTCCCCTGTCCTTATTCCTCCTGAGCCCTTTGGGACAGCTTCCCCCAGGCTCCATGTAGACACAGCCGGAAGGAGACAGCAGGGAATCTTCCAGCAGCCTGGCTGCCCCAACTTTGAATGGTGGAGTAGCTCTTATTTCTTTTTAAATTAAGGATCAATAAACCTCTGAAACCGGTTGGGCTTCCAGAGTTAGCCCCTAAGCCATCACTGGTCTCCCTGGGATCTTCAGCAGTTGCTGTCGGTTTCCTGACACTGGTCCCCAGCGCGCCACTAGGAGCCTTCCCATCGGACGGGCTGCTCCCCAAGAGCCCTGTGCTGTGAGAAGTTTGGCAAACCTGCCCTCATTGGTTGCTCCTCTGTGTACCCCTTTCAGGGGGACCCCTGAGACCAACAGCAGACATGCCCTGACTTGCCCTCTTCGTAATTTCTGCAAGTACATTCTCCCTCTTTTTAGCTCTGCTGGGCTAGCCTGGGATTCACTTCTTTTAAGCGCTGTTTGTGTCTGATGCCATGGCAAGGGACCACATTGCTGGGGGTAAACACAACGCAGCATTGTGTAACGATTAATAAGGGTATTTAGCATGTCCATTGCTTAAAATAGTCACCATTTCTTTGTGCTAAGAACATCCAAAATCCTTTCTTCTATCTGTCTTGAATGAGGAGTGTGCTATGGTTAACTGCAGTCACTTTCCAACACTCTGTGGAACTGTGACTTCGTCTGTTGACCCTGCAACCTCCATGCTCACTCTTTTATCCCAGACTGCTCTGCTCTGTGCTTCTGTGCCATCAACTTCAGAATCCAAGACAGAGGTCATGTGATTTGTCTTTAGATTACACACGAGGAAGGTCATGGGGCGTCTAACTTTCTGAATCTGGCTGGCTTCACTTCTCAGAAGGTCCTGCAGGTTTATCCTCATTACCACAAGTTATGGAATTTGACTTAAAAAAAAAATCACTGCTTGGTGTAGAGGTACACATCTTTAATCCTAGCACTTGGGAGGCAAAAACAGGGAGGTGGATCTCTGTGAGTTTGAGGCCAGCTTCGTCTACAGTGTGAGAGTTCCAGGACAGCCAGAGCTATATATTGAGACCCTATCTTAAAAAAAAAAAATCACTGGTTGGTTACACAGAATGGGTATGCACAGAGGCTGTGTGGGAGAAGGGGTTGGGTGTACAGGTGGTTTGTTGCCTTTTTTGGTGGTGGTATTTTTTTGTTTGCTTGTTTTTTAAGACAAATTTTCTCTGTGTAGCCCTGGCTGTCCTGGACTGGTTTTGTAGACCAGGCTGGTCTCAAACTCAGAGATCCATCTGCCTCTGCCTTCAGAGTGCTGGGATTAAAGGTGTGCGCCACCACACCCAGTTGGAAGGAGTGTTAGGGACATGAAGTATGAAGAACAGTGGAGTCTGGGTCAAGGCATGCGGACAGTGACGCTGGGTGAGGTGTCTCTCCCTGGAATGTCTCTTCATCTGAGAAGCAGTGCAGTCAACAAGCATTCTCAGACATTCCGGACCTGCTCATTTCTGTGGAGCACAAGAATAAAGGATGGTTGATAAAGACTGATAGAAAATACCAGAAATTTTTTAAGTACGGGTGGGAGAAGAAACAAGCATGGACTTTCTTTTCCTTCCTTGCTGGGTATTGAGAAAAATTCTGTGATTGAGTGTTTGTCTGGGACTGCTGAGACAGTGTGAGGTTTTTAAGAACATTAGGCCTTATTTTCAGAGGAGGAAGAACTAAACCCAGAAAACCTCACCCAAATGTGAGTCTCTCATCCTCAGAGAGCTGAATTATACTGTTTCATTTATATAAATATCAGGGTACATTGTTGTCATTAAAAATTAAGTCCAGAAGTAATTTAGGTATTCATTGTGCTTATGCACTGGGGTTAGCCTTCTGTTTTCAAAGTTGAAAGTAAGCTAGTATTTTGGAGAGCAATAAAGAAAGGGAGAGAGAGAGAGAGAGAGGAGAGAGAGAGAGAGAGAGAGAGAGAGAGAGAGAGAGAGAGAGAGAGAGAGAACAGGGAGACACAGACAGAGACAGAGAGGCAAAGAGACAGACAGACAGACACAGGGAGACAAATAGACAGAAAGAGAAACAGATACAGGGACACACACAGACAGACAGACAGACAGACACAGAGAGAGAGACAGAGAGAGAGAGAGAGAGAGAGAGAGAGAGAGAGAGAGAGACAGAGAGACAGAGAGAAAGAGAGACAGAGAGACAGAGAGAGTTAGAGAGAG